AGGAAAAGAATCACAGAAACGTTTATTGACAACTTTCCAGCTTAAGATGATTCCCAATTGCAATCGTTAATATAAAATTATTAAACAAAAGTTACAAAGTTCAGCAGGATACGCAAGAGAGACGAACTCTCACTTAAGGGCCGGAATCAGTTTGCCAATGTTCTATTTACTATGTCCAATTTCAAAATTTTTGTTTCATATGGAATTTCAGCCAGCAATTAAGAGGCACTTAGTAGTCTTGAAGGTTTACTTGACCTTACTTATGCATTTTCAGTTCCTGTATTCAATTTTCAATCGCTCTCGCTTCGCTGATTAATTAGGATTCAATTGAGTAATAGCTGTCGAGCAGTATCAAATAGCTCTGATACAAAAATACGATTATAGGTTTGTTTAACGTATCTCTAGATGTTCATTTAATTTCCCCTTTTAAGGTTTACTAGAAATTAGCTATCAAAAATAAAAAGATATTAAGCATAAACAAACGTTGCTTGGTGCGGATCTTTTTTTCTCCAATCCTTCACCATTCCTTTTCCTCTCCCTTAGGCTACCTGCTCTTCTTCCTCCTCTTTGGCGGCCACTCGTCTTTTGAATTCCCTCTAAATAGTGAGAGCAGAAGTTGTGCTAAAATGGTAGCTGTTTTGGTTCAGTAAATGAGGTCACACACACAGAGCACGGAACTTTTTTATGAAGATCGTCATGTAACTAAAAGTGTTATCATCCATGATTAAGGGCTAGAAACCATGGCTTTAGCTTCACGTATTAAAAATCGCCTCAAAAAGTTTTCTTGTGATTGAAATGCTATTTCAAACATTGACTAATTACACGCGATGCCCGAAGACATATTTGACATACTAGATTTCTGACAGTCGATTAAGTTTAGCTTGACCTCACACATTCAAAGACATTAATGTGCAGCTGTAGACAGACATGTACTCAATCAGATGTACCACAATTGGCAGTAATGTCGCAATCTGATTGGCCAATTAACAGTAAAGACAACGCTTCTCGCGTCAATGTGTCAAGATCATGGTCACGCACTGAAAGAGTCGTTTTATTTGATGTAAATAATATTGTTATAAAAACAAAACGAAAGTGGTTTAGCGAGGCGCAACCGAGTGGGTCAGCAATAAATTTTGACCACTGTGATGACGAATATCGTTGTCGATAAGAGTATACACCACGCTAAACCACTGGCGATTTGTTAAGTGGACAGGTTTTCGAAAGAAACTGAACTTCCGGTTTTCTTCTGCCAGAGAAATTGGTATTTGACTCCATCCAGCTTTCGTTTTTATGATGCTGCGATATCGAACAGAATGAAAAGGTGTCCTGTCCTGAAGTACCAACCGAACGAGAAACGGGGCGCAGCAGAGAGAATCTCTATTATTTATCAAAGTTCCCTTACTGCAAAAAGTTTATGTGGTAAATAAATTATTCATTCATCATGTGTCTAAAAAGTTCGGAAGGGGTAGTCACTTCACTGTGCCCGGGTGGAGGAAGCGAAATTACGGCACCAGTCATTATTTGTCTCCCCGGGGGAGGGATGGGTGTGTGGAGGTACTGGGGGGAATAACATAGTTTTCAGAAAGAAGGGATGGGGGATTAGTCGAAGCAAACAGAGTATAAAAGGGGAACAAAGAAAATTGACGGCCGATTAACGTCCCTGAGGGGGGAGGGGGAACATAAGAATATTACAGAGCCTTATGGGTTAGGTAAATTTATCGTGACACAGCCAAAATTCTTCCCCACCCCTTCCTTCTTAGGAGGCTGAATAATG